GTTGGTGATGGTGGTGGTAGTGGTGGCAGGGATGGTGGTGGTGGTGGTAGGAATGGTGGTGGTGGTGATGGTGGTGGTAGTGGTGGTAGGGGTGGTGATGGTGATGGTGGTGGTGGTGATAGTGGTGGTGGTGCTGATGATGGTGGTGATGATAGCGGTGGTGATGGTGGTGTTGATGGTGGTGGTGCTGATGGTGGTGGTGGTGATGGTGGTGCTGATGATGGCGGTGATGATAGTGGTGGTGATGGTGGTGGTAGTGCTGGTGGTGTTGGTGGTGGTGGTAGTGATGGTGACGGTGGTGATGGTGGTGGTGGTGGTGGTAGTGATGATGGTGGTGATGATGATGATGGTGGTGGTGATGATGATGGTGGTGGTGGTGGTGTGGTGGTGGTGGTGGTGGTGGTAGGGATGGTGGTGGTGGTGATGGTGGTGATGGTGGTGGTGGTGGTAGGAATGGTGGTGGTGGTGGTGGTGATGGTGGTGGTAGTGGTGGTAGGGGTGGTGGTGGTGATGGTGGTGGTGGTGGTAGTGGTGGTAGGGGTGGTGGTGGTGATGGTGGCGATGGTGGTGGTGGTGGTAGGGATAGCGATGGTGGTGGTGGCGGTGATGGTGGTGATGGAGAGCTCTCTCTGGGCTCCCGTGGGTGATGTAGATCACTCTCCGGCATCTTTGGGTAAGCTAGTTCTCTTCCCGGGTGGCCGATAACCTCATCACCACCTCCAACCATCACAACCTCATTTTTCTTCCCTCCAACTCTCTCTGTCTCTCTGTCTCTCTGTCTGTCTCTTTCTCTCTCTCTCTCTCTCTCTCTCTCTCTCTCTCTCTCTCTCTCTCTCTCTCTCTCTCTCTCTCTCTCTCTCTCTCTCTCTCTCTCTCTCTCTCTCTCTCTCTCTCTCTCTCTCTCTCTCTCTCTCTCTCTCTCTCTCTCTCTCTCTCTCTCTCTCTCTCTCTCTCTCTCTCTATATATATATATATATAATATATATATAATATATATATATATATATGTCGTGCCGAATAGGCAGAACTTGCGATCTTGGCTTAAATAGCAACGCTCATCTTGCCATATAGGACAAGTGAAAATTTGTGTATGCAATAATTTCGCCAAAATCATTCTGAACCTAACGAAAAAAATATATTTGATTGTGTTTGTTTAGTATTAAATTATTGTAAACGTATTTAAAATATATTTAGTTGGGTTAGGCTGTTAGGTAAGACACATATGCAACAGTTAGGTATCTTTATTTTGAAACGTTTCGCCTACACAGTAGGCTTCTTCAGTCGAGTACAGAAAAGTTGATAGAAGCAGAAGATACTTGAAGACGATGTAATCAGTCCATCACCCTTAAAGTTTTGAGGTGGTCAGTCCCTCAGTCTGGAGAAGAGCATTGTTCCGTTGTGTGAAACAATATGAAGTTGAAGTGACAGAATCGGGCCTTATATAGTGCCAGGAGGTGAGACGTAGGTTGATTTGGGAGGGCAGGTCCCTCTCAAACCCAGCCGTTCTCACTAGTAGAGGTTGTCGAAGTAGATGGTCTGTACCAAGATACCCTTGTGTTGCAGTGTCTGACAGAATGAACATTAAAATGGTATAAAATACCGACAGATTGTTAGGTAAGACACATATGCAACAGTTAGGTATCTTTATTTTGAAACGTTTCGCCTACACAGTAGGCTTCTTCAGTCGAGTACAGAAAAGTTGATAGAAGCAGAAGATACTTGAAGACGATGTAATCAGTCCATCACCCTTAAAGTTTTGAGGTGGTCAGTCCCTCAGTCTGGAGAAGAGCATTCTGTCAGACACTGCAACACAAGGGTATCTTGGTACAGACCATCTACTTCGACAACCTCTACTAGTGAGAACGGCTGGGTTTGAGAGGGACCTGCCCTCCCAAATCAACCTACGTCTCACCTCCTGGCACTATATAAGGCCCGATTCTGTCACTTCAACTTCATATTGTTTCACACAACGGAACAATGCTCTTCTCCAGACTGAGGGACTGACCACCTCAAAACTTTAAGGGTGATGGACTGATTACATCGTCTTCAAGTATCTTCTGATTCTATCAACTTTTCTGTACTCGACTGAAGAAGCCTACTGTGTAGGCGAAACGTTTCAAAATAAAGATACCTAACTGTTGCATATGTGTCTTACCTAACAATCTGTCGGTATTTTATACCATTTTAATGGGTTAGGCTAAAATAAATTGCTCTTGTTATAATAAGGTTAGGTAAGTTTTCTAAGATTCTTTAGGTGCAAAATTAAAAATTTTTACATTAACATTAATGAAAAAGATGTATCTTTAAACGTATAAGAGAAAATTTCAGAAAGGACTTAATTTTAAATGAGTTCTTGCTAATTGACCAGTTTTACATATTCGGCACGACATATACACACACACACACACACACACACACACACACACACACACACACACACACACACACACACACACACACACACACACACACACACACACACACATATATATATATATATATATATATATCAGTAAAAACACTGCGACTAGCCAAGGAGTCGAACCCATGCTGCTTTGGCCCGCCTCATGGTGAACGGAAGACACATGACGCTCTAGTCCACGGGATCACACAATTCTCAAGAATGACGCTTGGTTGGGTGAATCATTCTTGAGAATTGTGTGGTCTCGTGGACTAGAGCGTCATGTGTCTTTCGCTCACCATGGGGCGGGCCAAAGCAGCATGGGTTCGACTCCTTTGCTAGTCGCAGTGTTGTTATTGATCACTACCACTCTTTCGTGGGTACAATAATATATATGTTAATGTTGCAGTTTAAACTGTAGTGTAAAGCACCCTTCTGGCAAGACAGTGATGGAGTGAATGATGGTGAAAGTTTTTCTTTTTCGGGTCACCCTGCCTTGGTGGGAATCGGCCAGTGTGATAATAAAAAATAAATATATATATATATATATATATATATATATATATATATATATATATATATATATATATATATGTGGTGTGTGTGTGTGTGTGTTGTGTGTGTGTGTGTGTGTGTGTGTGTGTGTGTGTGTGTGTGTGTGTGTGTGTGTGTGTGTGTGTCGTGCCGAATATGTAAAACTGGTCAATTAGCAAGAACTCATTTAAAATTAAGTCCTCTCTGAAATTTTCTCTTATACGTTTAAAGATACATTTTTTTCATTAATGTTAATGTAAAAAATTTTAATTTTGCACCAAAAGAATCTTAGAAAACTTACCTAACCATATCATAACAAGAGCAGTTTATTTTAGCCTAACCCAACTAAATATATTTTAGATTTGTTTACAATAATTTAATACTAAACAAACACAGTGAAATATATTTTTTTTCGTTAGGCTCAGAATGATTTTGGCGAAATTATTGCATAGACAAATTTTCACTTGTCCTATATGGCAAGATGAACGTTGCTATTTAAGCCAAGATCGCAAGTTCTGCCTATTCGGCACGACATATATATTATATATATATATATATATATATATATATATATATATATATATATATATATAAATATATATATATATATATATATATATATATATATATATATATATATATATATATATATTATATATATATATATATATTAAAAATGAGTTTCCTCTTATCTTTTATTGTGTAGTGTGTATATGAGAGACCTTCCTTATGCAGTATTCGTGACGAGGCGAAGGTCTGACGCAGAGTGACGGTGGATGTTGTCATGGGATAATCCCTTATGACTGTGTGGCGATTGGGAAGTGTGGTAGTTGTGTGGTGTGTGGTTGTCTGTGTGGTGGTGTGTAGAGGATGTGTCGTCATGTGTAGAGGAGTGTGGTTTTTGTGGTGGTGCGGGGTTGTGTGGTGGTGGAGGGTTGTGTGGTGGTGGGGGGTTGTGTGGTGGTGGGGGTTGTGTGGTGGTGGGGAGGGGGGTTGTGTGGTGGTGGGGGAAGGGGCTGTGTGGTGGTGGGAAGAGGGGTTGTGTGTGGTGGGGGGTTGTGTGGTGGAGGTTGGGCTGTGTGGTGGTGGGGTTGTGTGGTCGTGGGGGTTGTGTGGTGGTGGTGGGGGGTTTTGTGGTGTGGGGGGGTTGTGTGGTGGTGGGGGTTGTGTGGTGGTCGGGGGTTGTGTGGTGGTGGGGTTGTATGGTTGTGGGGGTTGTGTGGTGGTGGGGTTGTGTGGTGGGGGGTTGTGTGGTGGTGTAGGAGGGTTGTGTGGTGGTGGGGGTTGTGCGGTGGTGGGGGTTGTGTGGTGGTTGGGGGTTGTGTGGTGGTGGTGGTGGGGGTTGTGTGGTGGGAGTGGTGGGGGTTGTGTGGTGGTGGGGATTGTGTGGTGGTGGTGGTGGGGGTTGTGGTGGTGGGGGTTGTGTGGTGGTGGGGGTTGTGTGGTGGTGGTGGTGGGGGTTGTTTGTTGTACCAGCAGCAGAGGAGTTTTTTGTGGAGTAGACGAGGATAACATACTGGAGTCTGTGGTGTACTCTCTGTAGTGTAATACTGGAGTCTGTGATGTACTCTCTGTAGTGTAATACTGGAGTCTGTGGTGTACTCTCTGTAGTGTAATACTGGAGTCTGTGATGTACTCTCTGTAGTGTAATACTGGAGTCTGTGGTGTACTCTCTGTAGTGTAATACTGGAGTCTGTGGTGTACTCTCTGTAGTGTAATACTGGAGTCTGTGGTGTACTCTCTGTAGTGTAATACTGGAGTCTGTGATGTACTCTCTGTAGTGTAATACTGGAGTCTGTGATGTACTCTCTGTAGTGTAATACTGGAGTCTGTGATGTACTCTCTGTAGTGTAATATTCTCATCTTTAACAATCCAGTACAATACAATGGAACTGTGGTGGGCTTAAAAGTGCGTTTCTTGTACTTAACGATTTCAGGCACTGAAGAAGTTTGTTGTGTGGGTGAATCCTTCTTCTTCTTCTTCTTCTTCTTCTTCTTCTTCTTCGTCTTCTTCTTCTTCTTCTTCTTCTTCTTCTTATTGTAGTTGCTGTTCTTTTTCTTGCAGCTGAGGAAGACAAGGCCATTGGCGCCATCCCGACGAAACCTATAGATTCCAAGGACCTTCCAAAGATTTGCGCCCAGCACCGTCAGTATCCCATCCTCTACAAGGTTGAGTTCCAGGTCAGTGCCATCTAGTCCCATTATGTTTTGATGAGACTCGACCAAATCAGGTTCAAGATAGCTAGCTCCTTTTTTTTTTAGGATATCCCAGAGGGCTGGTGAAAGGACCTAGATTCAGGGAAGTACAACAACCCTGCCCTTCCATGAGTCAACCCTCATTACCTCTCATTCCTCAAGCTCTGTATGACATCTACGGGTTCAGTGCTTACCCGTGAATATAATAATAATAAATAATAATAATAATAATAATAATAATAATAATAATAATAATAATAATAATAATAATAATAATAATAATAATAATAATAATAATAATCTAAATCATTCTATTTTTTTAGTTCTAATATTAAGTCAGTTCTAGCCTCTAAATTAGTTATAGTTGGAAGGGCAGTTATCAGGTAATACCTTGAGCTACATTTCTAGCCTATTTTATATATTGTACAAATGTATTCATGTTTGTTTTCTATTAATGTATTCTGTCTATTAATAAAGTACATATAAAACATAAATTATAGGGGGTGGTAGGAGAAGAAAATATTTAAACACCTTGAGTTTTCCCTGAGGTACGTTTATTGTCCTCTCTGAGGATGAGGGTCCCCAGTAAAGTTCTAGAGGTGGTACCTCCTATTTTATATATATATATATATATATATATATATATATATATAAAATATATATATTATATATATATAATATATATATATATATATATATTTTTTTTTTTTTTTTTATTTCACACTGGCCGATTCCCACCAAGGCAGGGTGGCCCGAAAAAGAAAAACTTCACCATCATTCACTCCATCACTGTCTTGCCAGAAGGGGTGCTTTACACTACAGTTTTTTAAACTGCAACATTAGCACCCCTCCTTCAGAGTGCAGGCACTGTATTTCCCCATCTCCAGGACTCAAGTCCGGCCTGCCGGTTTCCTGAAACCCTTCATAAATGTTACTTTGCTCACACCCCAACAGCACGTCAAGTATTAAAAACCATTTGTCTCCATTCACTCCTATCAAACACGCTCACGCATGCCTGCTGGAAGTCCAAGCCCCTCGCACACAAAAACCTCCTTTACCCCCTCCCTCCAACCTTTCCTAGGCCCACCCCTACCCCGCCTTCCTTCCACTACAGACTGATAAAACTCTTGAAGTTATTCTTTTTCGCTCCATTCTCTCCACATGTCCGAACCACCTCAACAACCCTTCCTCAGCCCTCTGGACAACAGTTTTGGTAATCCCGCACCTCCTCCTAACTTCCAAACTACGAATTCTCTGCATTATATTCACACCACACATTGCTCTCAGACATGACATCTCCACTGCCTCCAGCCTTCTCCTCGCTGCAACATTCATCACCCATGCTTCACACCCATATAAGAGCGTTGGTAAAACTATACTCTCATACATTCCCCTCTTTGCCTCCAAGGACAAAGTTCTTTGTCTCCACAGACTCCTAAGTGCACCACTCACGCTTTTCCCCTCATCAATTCTATGATTCACCTCATCTTTCATAGACCCATCCGCTGACACGTCCACTCCCAAATATCTGAATACATTCACCTCCTCCATACTCTCTCCCTCCAATCTGATATCCAATCTTTCATCACCTAATCTTTTTGTTATCCTCATAACCTTACTCTTTCCTGTATTCACTTTCAATTTTCTTCTTTTGCACACCCTACCAAATTCATCCACCAATCTCTGCAACTTCTCTTCAGAATCTCCCAAGAGCACAGTGTCATCAGCAAAGAGCAACTGTGACAACTCCCACTTTATGTGTGATTCTTTATCTTTTAACTCCACGCCTCTTGCCAAGACCCTCGCATTTACTTCTCTTACAACCCCATCTATAAATATATTAAACAACCACGGTGACATCACACATCCTTGTCTAAAGCCTACTTTTACTGGGAAATAATTTCCCTCTTTCCTACATACTCTAACTTGAGCCTCACTATTCTCGTAAAAACTCTTCACTGCTTTCAGTAACCTACCTCCTACACCATACACCTGCAACATCTGCCACATTGCCCCCCTATCCATCCTGTCATACGCCTTTTCCAAATCCATAAATGCCACAAAGACCGCTTTAGCCTTATCTAAATACTGTTCACTTATATGTTTCACTGTAAACACCTGGTCCACATACCCTCTACCTTTCCTAAAGCCTCCTTGTTCATCTGCTATCCTATTCTCCGTCTTACTCTTAATTCTTTCAATAATAACTCTACCATACACTTTGCCAGGTATACTCAACAGACTTATCCCCCTATAATTTTTGCACTCTCTTTTATCCCCTTTGCCTTTATACAAAGGAACTATGCATGCTCTCTGCCAATCCCTAGGTACCTTACCCTCTTCCATACATTTATTAAATAATTGCACCAACCACTCCAAAACTATATCCCCACCTGCTTTTAACATTTCTATCTTTATCCCATCAATCCCGGCTGCCTTACCCCCTTTCATTTTACCTACTGCCTCACGAACTTCCCCCACACTCACAACTGGCTCTTCCTCACTCCTACAAGATGTTGTTCCTCCTTGCCCTATACACGAAATCACAGCTTCCCTATCTTCATCAACATTTAACAATTCCTCAAAATATTCCCTCCATCTTCCCAATACCTCTAACTCTCCATTTAATAGCTCTCCTCTCCTATTTTTAACTGACAAATCCATTTGTTCTCTAGGCTTTCTTAACTTGTTAATCTCACTCCAAAACTTTTTTTTATTTTCAACAAAATTTGTTGATAACATCTCACCAACTCTCTCCTTTGCTCTCTTTTTACATTGCTTCACCACTCTCTTAACCTCTCTCTTTTTCTCCATATACTCTTCCCTCCTTGCATCACTTCTACTTTGTAAAAACTTCTCATATGCTAACTTTTTCTCCCTTACTACTCTCTTCACATCATCATTCCACCAATCGCTCCTCTTCCCTCCCGCACCCACTTTCCTGTAACCACAAACTTCTGCTGAACACTCTAACACTACATTTTTAAACCTACCCCATACCTCTTCGACCCCATTGCCTATGCTCTCATTAGCCCATCTATCCTCCAATAGCTGTTTATATCTTACCCTAACTGCCTCCTCTTTTAGTTTATAAACCTTCACCTCTCTCTTCCCTGATGCTTCTATTCTCCTTGTATCCCATCTACCTTTTACTCTCAGTGTAGCTACAACTAGAAAGTGATCTGATATATCTGTGGCCCCTCTATAAACATGTACATCCTGAAGTCTACTCAACAGTCTTTTATCTACCAATACATAATCCAACAAACTACTGTCATTTCGCCCTACATCATATCTTGTATACTTATTTATCCTCTTTTTCTTAAAATATGTATTACCTATAACTAAACCCCTTTCTATACAAAGTTCAATCAAAGGGCTCCCATTATCATTTACACCTGGCACCCCAAACTTACCTACCACACCCTCTCTAAAAGTTTCTCCTACTTTAGCATTCAGGTCCCCTACCACAATTACTCTCTCACTTGGTTCAAAGGCTCCTATACATTCACTTAACATCACCCAAAATCTCTCTCTCTCCTCTGCATTCCTCTCTTCTCTAGGTGCATACACGCTTATTATGACCCACTTCTCGCATCCAACCTTTACTTTAATCCACATAATTCTTGAATTTACACATTCATATTCTCTTTTCTCCTTCCATAACTGATCATTCAACATTACTGCTACCCCTTCCTTTGCTCTAACTCTCTCAGATACTCCAGATTTAATCCCATTTATTTCCCCCCACCGAAACTCCCCTACCCCCTTCCGCTTTGTTTCGCTTAGGGCCAGGACATCCAACTTCTTTTCATTCATAACATCAGCAATCATCTGTTTCTTGTCATCCGCACTACATCCACGCACATTTAAGCATCCCAGTTTTATAAAGTTTTTCTTCTTCTCTTTTTTAGTAAATGTCTACAGGAGAAGGGGTTACTAGCCCATTGCTCCCGGCATTTTAGTCGTCTCATACGACACGCATGGCTTACGGAGGAAAGATTCTTTTCCACTTCCCCATGGACAGTAGAAGAAATAAAGAGGAACAAGTGCTATTTAGAAAAAGGAGAAAAACCTAGATGTATGTATATATATATGCATGTGCGTGTCTGTGAAGTGTGACCAAAGTGTAAGTAGGAGTAGCAAGATATCCCTGTTATCTAGCGTGTTTATGAGACAGAAAAAGAAACCAGCAATCCTACCATCATGCAAAACAGTTACAGGTTTCTGTTTCACAGTCATCTGGCAGGACGGTAGTACTTCCCTGGATGGTTGCTGTCTACCAACCTACTACCTGGATATATATATATATATATATATATATATATATATATATATATATATATATATATATATATATATATATATATATATATGTATATATATATATATATATATATATATATATATATATATATATATATATATATATATATATCAACACGTTGGTCGTCTCCCACCGAGGCAGGGTGACCCACAAAGAAAGAAAATCCCCAAAAAGAAAATACTTTCATCATCATTCAACTCTTTCACCTCACTCACACATAATCACTGTTTTTGCAGAGGTGCCCAGAATACAACAGCTTAGAAGTATATACGTATAAAAATACACAAAATATCCCACAAAACTGCCAATATCCCAAACCCCTCCTTTAGAGTGCAGGCATTGTACTTCCCATTTCCAGGACTCAAGTCCGGTTATATAAAATAACCGGTTTCCCTGAATCCCTTCACTAAATATTACCCTGCTCACACTCCAACAGCTCGTCAGGTTCCAAATACCATTCGTCTCCATTCACTCCTATCTAACACGCTCACGCACGCTTGCTGGAAGTCCAAACCCCTCGCCCACAACACCTCCTTTACCCCCTCCCTCCAACCTTTTCGAGGATGACCCCTTACCCCACCTTCCTTCCCCAACAGATTTATACGTTCTCCATGTCATTCTACTTTGATCCATTCTCTCTAAATGACCAAACCACCTCAACAACCCCTCTTCAACCTTCTGACTAATACTTTTATTAACTCCACACCTCCTAATTTCCACACTCCGAATTTTCTGCATAATATTTACACCACACATTGCCCTTAGACACGACATCTCCGCTGCCTCCAACCGCCTCCTTGCTGCAGCATTTGCAACCCAAGCTTCATACGCATATAAGAATGTTGGTACCACTATACTTTATACATTCCCTTCTTTGCCTCCTTGGATAACGTTTTTTGGCCTCCCCATATATCTCAACGCACCACTCACCTTTTTTCTTTCATCAATTCTATGGTTAACTTCATCCTTCATAGACCCATCTGCTGACACGTCAACTCCCAAATATCTGAAAACATTCATTTCTTCCATACTCCTCTCCAATGTTATATCCATTTTTTCTTTATCTAAATCATTTGATACCCTCATCACCTTACTCTTTTCTATGTTCACTTTCAACTTTCTACCTTTACACACACTCCCAAATTCGTCCACTAACCTTTGCAATTTTTCTTTAGAATCTCCCATAAGCACAGTATCATCAGCAAAAAGTAACTGTGTCACTTCCCATTTTATATTTAATTCCCCATAATTTAATCCCACCCCTCTCCCGAACACCCTAGCATTTACTTCTTTTACAACCCCATCTATAAATATATTAAACAACCATGGTGACATTACACATCACTGTCTAAGACCTACTTTTACCGGGAATTAGTCTCCCTCTCTTCTACACACCCTAACCTGAGCCTCACTATCCTCATAAAAACTCTTTACGGCATTTAGAAACTTACCACCTATTCCATGTACTTGCAATATCTGCCAGAATATTCTGGAAGGTTTTGCAGCACCGGCTGACAAATGAAGATATGTAATGATCCACTTTTTAAGTCACTTGACCTGTTCCCAGCGGTTAGAAGCTTAGGGTTGACTATTAACTATCTTCTAGCAATTTTCCTCTTGGAATCTGCCAAATGTGAGGCCTACTCCACCTGACCCCATATGGTGTGGGGCAGGGACCGGTGTGTGGTTGGCATTCTGCTTGCCTCTCAGAGTCTGGCTGGTGCCTGCACACTACAATACTCTGAGAACTTACCCTACTTCTCTTGTTGATGCCTTTGCAACATTGCACAGCTCCTGATGACGCAATGAGAAGTGTGAAAGTACTTAAGGGAAAGATTTCCACCCCCCGTGGCTTGTATTGCATTAAGATCGCTTGTTTGCGATTGTTTTGCATATATATATATATATATATATATATATATATATATATATATATATATATATATATATATATATATATATATATACATAGTTTTATGTATTTCGCGCAGATGGCTTCAAAGGTGGAGCCGCACTCCATGCGTCATGCTCTGAAGGAAGTCAATGAGCTGAAGAACACCCACAAAAGAAGTATTCCTTGTAAGTAATATCACTTTTGATAATTATTATTTTGAGTTTCCTACAATATGTATGTATATATATATATATATATATATATATATATATATATATATATATATAATATATATATATATATATATATATATATATATATATATATATATATATATATATATATATATTGTTTCAGAAAGATGGGCCCAATTTATATGAAGCCAAGACAATTGCTGGCAATAAGCAAAGATATGAATAATCAGCATTATCCTTAAGTACTTGTTATGCTTAAATATATGAAGGACTGAGGCGTCTGCTAATTTCACTGTACTTTGCATGACTGTTCATGATGATTGTATCATGTTTGTTTTAAAGCTGCTAAATCATTTTACCTAAAACGTCAGATTCTACCATTCCAATCTAAGGCTGTAGTGACTTCCATTTCTAGAATCTTGACCAGATTACAGTGACTGGCAAGGAATTCAGAATAGTAGGCTTCAACATAATACATATGGGTAAAAATACACAAGGTGTGGATGACCTATCCGATACTACCAGAGCTATATACAGCTTGTGGAGCTAATTTTTATTTTTTTTTTAATATTGGTCCCCTGAGAAGCATTCGCCTCTCTTGGTTTACCTTTGACTTATTTGGTTGTAATTTACAGGCCAATGACGAGAGATAATGAGACTGGTAGAATGATGAGGTGAAGAGAGTAGTAAAAGAGAAAAAGTTAGCATATGAAAGATTTCTACATAGTAGAAATGATATAAGGAGGGAGGAATATATGGAGAGAAATAGAGACGTTAAGAGAATGGTGAAGGAATATAAAAGGAGAGCAAATGAGAGAGTGGGTGAGCGCTATCAACAATTTTGCTGAGAATAAGAAAAAAATTTGGAGTGAGATAAATAAGTTGAGAAAGCCTAAGGAATGAATGGTTTTTACAGTTAAAATAGAAGAGAAGAATTATTAGATTGAGAACTAGAGGTATCGGGAAGATGGAAATATTTTGAGGAACTGTTAAATGTTGATGAAGATAGGGAAGCTGTGATTTCGTGCACTGGGCAGGGAGATATAACATCTTGTAGGAGTGAGGAAGATCCAGATGTGAGTGTGGAGGAGGTACATGAAGCTGTGGGTAGAATGAAAGGGGGTATACTAGCTGTGATTGATTAGGATCATGGAAGAAATGTTAAAAGCAGGTGGGGATATAGTTTTCGAAAATCTGGGACTTTTTTTAATAAATGCATGGAAGGGAAGGTAACCAGAGATTGGCAGAGAGCATGTATACTTCCTTTGTATAAAGGCAAAGGGGACAAAAGAGAGTTTAAATATTAAAGGGGAATAAGCCTACTGATTATATCTGATAAAGTTTATGATAGAGTTATTAATGAAAGAACTAAGAGTAAGACGGAGAGCAGAATAGCAGATGAACAAGGAGGCCTTAGGAAGGGTAAGGGTTGTGTAGACCAAGTGTTTACAGTGAAACATGTAGGTGAACAGTATTTAGATGAGGATAAAAAGGTTTTCGTTGCATTTATGGATTTGGAAAAGGCATTTGATAGAATGGATAGGGAAGCAGTGTGGCAGACGTTGCAAGTGTATGGAATAGGTGGTAGGTTACTGAAAGCAGTTAAGAGTTTTTATTAGGATAGTGAGGCTCAGGTTAGAGTGTGTAGGAGAGAGAGGGACATTATTTCCCAGTAAATGTAGGCCTTAGACAGGGATGTGTGATGTCACCATGAGGCCTGGTCACAGACCGGGCCGTTGGGGCGTTGATCCCCGTAACTCTCTCCAGGTATACTCCAGGTTGTTCAATATATTTATAAATGAGATAAGAGAAGTGAATGCTCGGGTGTTGGTAAAAGGTGTGGGATTAAGAGATAAGGACTCTAACACAAAGTGGGAGTTGTCACAGATGCTTTTTGCTGATGACACTGTGCTTTTGGGAAATTCTGAAGAGAAGTTGCAGAGGTTGGTGGACGAGTTTGGAAGGGAATGTAAAAGAAGGAAATTAAAAGTGAACATAGGAAAGAGCAAGGTGATGAGGATAACAAAAGAAAATAGGCAATGAAAGACTGGATATCAGACTGGAGAGAGAGAAAGTATGGAGGAAGTGATTGTGAATATTCAGATATTGGGAGTGTACGTGTCAGCAGATGGATCTATGAAAGACGAGGTGAATCATAAAATTGATGAGGGGAAAAAGGTGAGTGGCACACTGAGAAGCCTATGGAGATAACGAACGTTATCCATGCAAGCAAACAGGGAAATGTGTGAGAGTATAGAGGTACCATTGCTCTTCTATGGGTGTGAAGCATGGGTGGTGAACGTTGCAACGAGGAGAAGGCTGGAGGCAGTGGAAATGTCATGTCTGAAGGTAATGTGTGGTGTGAATATAATGCGGAGAATTCATAGTTTGGACATTAGGAGGAGATGTGGGGTTTCTAAGAGTATTAACCAGAGGGCTGGAAAGGATGGAACGAAATGGAATGACTTGGAGGGCATATATAAATCTGTAGTGGAAGGAAGGTGGGGTAGGGCTCGGCCTAGGAAAGGTTGAAGGTTTTTGTGTGCGACGGGCTTGGATTTCCAGCAAGCGTGTGTGAGCATGTTAGACAGGAGCGATTGGAGGCAAATGGTTTTTATGACTTGTTTTGCTGTTGGAGTGTGAGTAAAGCAACATTTATGAAGCGATTCAAGAGAAACCGGTTAGCTGGGCTTGAGTCCTGGAGGTGGGAAGTACAGTGCCTGCACTCTGAAGGAGGAGCGTTAATGTTGTTTTATAACTGTAGTGTACGTGCACCTCTAGCAAGACAGTGATGGAGTAAATGATGAAGAAAGTGTTTCATCTTTTTTGGGTCACCCTGCCTGGGTGGTCACCCTGCCTGGGTGGTCACCCTGCCTGGGTGCTCACCCTGCCTGGGTGCTCACCCTGCCTGGGTGCTCACCCTGCCTGGGTGCTCACCCTGCCTGGGTGCTAACCCTGCCTGGGTGCTCACCCTGCCTGGGTGCTCACCCTGCCTGGGTGCTCACCCTGCCTGGGTGCTAACCCTGCCTGGGTGCTCACCCTGCCTGGGTGCTCACCCTGCCTGGGTGCTCACCCTGCCTGGGTGCTCACCCTGCCTGGGTGCTAACCCTGCCTGGGTGCTCACCCTACCTGGGTGCTCACCCTGCCTGGGTGCTCACTGTAGAATGAGAGAGATTATTAATGAAACATTTCTCATTTGCCAGGAAATTTTTTACTTTAATCATTCTCATCTTTCTTGTGCATATAACCTCGGATCAACACCCAGGGGATACCAGGGGATACCAGCTATTTAGTTATGACTCACGTTAAAACTCTTCTGGTAGGTGAAAGGGGCTACGGGCCGATAATTTTGAAGAGACATATAAAACAGCACTAAACAATGTTTCGCTCAATGAGAATACCCTCAAGTTATAACTTAATAAAGTTTCCCTTGAGTTGTAACTCAGTGCAATAAAAGCGTATGTATCATCTTTTAAGAAGTGTCACTTTGACTTTTCCCTGTTCCACCACAGAGAAAAAATATATTAAAATTAAATTTTTGATGATACTGTTCTGGTAGGAGGTGATGCTGTCTCTTACTCTCACTGTGCAAGTACTTACCTCTAACGTGTTCATCTCTAGTAATTTGTGTGTAACGGAGCCTCCCGTTCGTGTTTTGTGTTTTTGGCCGCTGCTGGGGCTAAAGGCATTGTTTTTTTTTTAACAGTACGAAAAATGTAGATCTTCCTCTGTAAATCTAGGCACTAAAGTCAACATTTTAAGAATGTTGACCTTGGCAGTGTTTACACTGCCACTTTGTACTTCATGCTCCCTCTCGAACTTTCTTTTGCTCTAAATATCTCTTCTTATTCCTCAAATTATCTTTGATTCCTAAGAAATGGCGCATGTTGCTTATTTTCCTATAATTACATTGCGTCGTAATATCAGTGCATACGTTACCAGTACCAACGGTACTAAACAGGTTACCTTGTACCTATGATACTAAACAGGTTACCCTGTACCTATGGTAATAAACACGTTACCCTGTACCTATGTTACTAAACAGGTTACCTTGTACCTATTATACTAAACAGGTTACCTTGTACTTATGGTACTAAACAAGTTACCCTGTACCTATGGTACTAAACCGGTTACCCAGTACCTATGGTAATAAACAGGCTGCCCATATGATAGTTTCCTACCCCTGCTTCAGGTCCCGCTGACTCTAGCTTTTTTCAAAACCAGGAAAACTTGATCCTACTTTATCCTGTGATAGTTCACATACACACAAAAAGTGACCCCTGGTTCAAATTTACTACGCATGGTTAATCATTATGCCCTAAACATCATCTAAAACGATGGATATTGATGAGGTAATCGCAGCTAGGGATTCTACGTTCATCAAGACACATCAATGATTTGTTGCTTCAGTTTTGCTCTTCCTTACCCCCTGCAGAAGCTCTGATAACCTTGTTCTCTTCCCGCGACTTCTCGATGCCTTACTCCTGAGTTCTTTAAAAAAAAACAAGTGACCATCCATCAATCACTGCGCTTCGAGGTCCTGATCAATTCTTTCCTGTTGAATGCGACCTAGAGCGATCAAGTACTGAGTTCCTAATTACTGCTCGGTAAACAGGAGCTGGAGATGTACGACGACTTACCCATATGTCTAGCATCGCCTAGGGATTGAACCCGAACCCTTTCGGTCGTGAGACCGACGTTCCACTACTAAACTATAAGTCAATGCAACTTGTTTCCTCTTCCCGTTTTATTACAGGCGCTCTGTGGTTGGTTTTATAGATAAATATACTTGTGAAAGCAAACGCTCTCGGAGCAGAATAAACTTTTATCGTGACACGGTTTCGCTCTATGTAGAGTTTTATGAAGCTGTTGACCTGCTAAGACTCTATACAGAGCGGGGGTAAAAGTTGTCCCATTATATATCTCTTTTTCGGTATTATCACAATATGCCATTTTAATTAAAAAATAATACTCTCTCAGCGTGCCTAGATATTTCGACCCTTGAAGATTATTCATTCTTCAGAATCTAAATGAGTGTTATCTCCTTCTAACACGTAGCATCTCTGGATTACCTACTGCCCCTGTCAATTATATCAGCAGAGTATTTTTCGTAAGAAATCGCCTCTCCTAGATTCCGTTGCAGCATCCTCCACATGGGAGTGTAACTTATGTCATGATTGCAGCATCCTTCACGCAACAGTGTAATCTGTTGACTCATTGCCCTACAGATGACTATAACAGAGTGGTTCTCGAGCCGTTGCCTGATGCACCGGACTCAGACTACATCAACGCTTCGTATATTGACGTAAGTTTCCCTAACCTAACACAATCTAACCTGACCTAATATTACCTAACGTAATCAAACCTAATCTGTCCTAGCCTGACTGAGCCTTACGTAGCCCAGCCCAACTTAAACTAACGTAGCCTAAGGTAACCTAACTTGGCATAACCTAGCCTAAATTAACGTAACTTAACCTAGCCTAAATGAATCTAACCTAACGTAACCTGTTGTAACCTTAAAATGTTGAAATTTATTAAAACAAATTGTATTAATATTTTAGGTAAAAGAACACATCTGCAATTAATGTGACAGTTTACGTCACATTAGTTGCACTTGTGTCCTCTTACGTACGTATTAAAACAAGGTTGAAAACAATATCATTGAACATATCTCAAGCTCTCAGCTTCAGGCATGAGAGAGAGAGAAAAAATAAATATAATTATCAAAAATATTTATCACTGTGCTACATGTTGACAAACATCTCCCAAATAAAAGTATTAATATCAAACCATAATTTTTATAATTTGTAATCTTTTGTGAGCCAGAAATGACATTTTCCTTACAGAGTTTGCTCACCCCGAAGGCTTACATAGCTACACAGGGGCCTTTAGAAAATACCATAGTGGATTTCTGGCGGCTGGTGTGGCAGCAGAAAAGTCGGCTTATTGTTATGCTTACCAAGACATTTGATTTCATTAAGGTAAGGAATTATTTCAAAGGACATAAAGGAGTTTCGTGGATGGTTTAGACTGTATTTCAGTACGTCTCATTATTGTTTTTTTTTTTTTAGTAGTTTTTACTTGTGTCAGTTTCGTTCTGATTAAAATTTGCACACAGTCACGAATTTGATTTTGGCCACAGTTTATAGTAAATAAATATTTGATATAATTATAGATAAATAACTACAGTTTGCGTGTGAAGTGCTATCTATTAAGAATTCTTCTGTATTTTGAGATGCGTCACATGATGTGTTGGTGTTCAGGTGATGTGTGTGCAATACTGGCCAGCAATGGTTGGTTGTCCTGACCACTACGAGGGCATCAAAGTCGACCTCCTGAAGGAGGAACAACTGGCCAACTTCCAGATCCGCACTATAAAACTCAGCTTAGAAGGACATGTGAGACTCCACTACTTCTTTCACTCTTACAAGTTATTGATTTGAGTTTTTGTTGGGAAGCTTGTGTTGTGTATTTTAAATGAAAATTAAGTTAATATCTTTAAAAAAAAAATAAAAAGGCTTAACACTTGCCTGTTTGTACAGAACCGTTGAAATAATTGTTTACAGAACTACTTTCAAAAACTCATTTGTGCAATTATGTTCCATAAAACTATTCTGTTGCTACTTTCAATTATTACAAAAAATCTCTCACTGTATTTATGTAACATTAATAAAAAGATCCAGGAAACTGGTGAACTGAACTTAAGTTGCTGATTGAGGAAGAACAATGCTTGCATGCTGAAGGATGGGCAGGGATGGGTAGGGATGGGCAGGCATGCCTAGGAATGCTGTGGTGTCCAAATATTTGAATGTTGGTATCTGAACACTTCTATAAAGACAGCTAGGGTATGAGTGATGGTTAATGCTTTTCCTTTACTGAATCATCCTACCCAGCTAGAAAACAGCTGATGCAATAAACTTTTTTTTTCTATTTTTACCCTATGTATACATATATATATATATATATTATATATATATATATATATATATATATATATATATATATATATATATATATATATGTGTGTGTGTGTTATATATATATATATATATATATATATATTATATATATATATATATATATATATATATATATATATATATATATATATATATATGTATGTATATATACATATTTTAACAATTCGGCCGTCTCCCACCGAAGCAGAGTGACTCAAAAAGAAGAAACTCCCCAAAAAGAAAAACTTTCATCATCATTCAACACTTTCACCTCATACATAATCACTCTCTTTGCAGAGGTGCTCAGATACGACAGTTTTGAGTAGTCCCACTATTACAACCCAGGAGTCCCAAAGGCCTGTTATCCTGGGTGTAAAGGGAGCAAAATAAACAGCAGAAAAACTTTTGACTTGTATTATCCTTCACCAATTTAGAACAGAAGTATGTACACTGTATACACTATGTACAACAATAGGTATTAGTGCACTCCACGGTAAGTAAGGGGCCCCATCATCAACCCTTAGCACCTGGTTCGCTGGTTGGGGGAGATAGCCTTTCAATGAGGGTGTGTACATGCGCCGAATAAAAGTTACGTACTCTTTGCATGCCACACCCTCCAAGCTGTCAATATCCCAAATCCCTCCTTTAAAAAGCAGGCATTGTACTTCCCATTTTCAGGACTCAAGTCCTGTTAACCGGTTTCTCTGAATCCCTTCACTAAATATTACCCTGCTCACACGACAACAGCTCTTTAGGTCCCAAAAGCCATTCGTCTCCATTCACTCCTATCTAACACGCTCACGCACGCTTGTTGGAAGTCCAAGCCCCTCGCCCACAAAACCTCCTTTACCCCCTCCCTTCAACCTTCTGGAGGACGACCCCTACCCCTCCTTCCTTCCGCTATCATATATATTACATATACATTGAAACTTGGTGTTACACAGCATTCTTAACCAGTGGTTCTCATGCTGAGGTTCATCACATTATTCTAGAATTTGGTCCACTGAAGACTTAACATTTCTGAAAATTTGCAGGAAAATCTTAGAAATTAAAAAAAAAACATATAAATAAATTAGCTTCAAAAATTAAAATTTTATTTATTTTTATGGCAAGGTCAACAAGGTCTTAGTGATCGCGACGCTGACTGACTCACACAGGTGTATGGAATGAAGTGCGCACCTGATTAACTCACACAGGGGGTATGGACGCAAGTGCGCACCTGATTAACTCACACAGAGGGTATGGACGCAAGTACGCATCTGACTGACTCACACAGTGGGTATGGAAGCAAGTGCTCCTCTGCTTAAGTCACACAAAGGGTACGGACGCAAGTGCGCAACTGCTTGACTCACACAGGGAGGAGGCAAGTGCGCGTCAAACTAGTTACTTGGAACGACAACATTCGCCCGTCTCATTTCATCGCCGACCTTCGTTGTGTCGCTGAATGAGTGACTATCGTTACCCCTGAGATAACGCAGTTTTACGAGGTAGTAACAGCGATCAAGCTACCCGTGACGTACGTCTTACTTTCGACCTCCTAACTATCAACGTCTCATTAATTGTAATTAGTCATTCTTTATTAATTTCAGGTCACTGAATGCGATAATGATGCTTTAAAATGCAAATTGGCATTATTTATAAAGATATGAATTCATGCCGTTTGCTTAATTGTTTGTTATCTTTGACCTGGGAAACGATTCTTAATTCAAACTCACATTACGTAATTGTTTGAAGCATATATACAATTTCCTATAATAATAATAATAATAATAATAATAATAATAATAATAATAATAATAATAATAATAATAATAATAATAATAATAATAATAATAAGAATAAGAATAATAATCTTTAATTTCTACAAGTACATGTACAAGGTATACAGTACTTGCTGACATCAATGACATACTACTATATAGAAAGCCGCTTGTTATGTAGAGCATTTCGGTCAAATTAGGTCAATTTTGTCTCAGGATGCGACCCACACCAGTCAGCTAACACCCTGGTACCCATTCTACTGATGGGTGAACATGGGCAATAGGTGCTAAGGAAACACGCCCAATGTTTTCACCCTTGTCGGGAATCGAACCACGACCCCTCAGCGTGTGAAGGGAGAGCTTTGCCTACCAGGCCAAGAGCCACACTATGTAAATGTTTTAAATATACATTTAATTTCTTTTAGCCAGTCGGTTGTATAAAATGAAACACTTTTTTCTCCGAGGCACAAAACTTGCAGAGCAGCGCTAGCCTCGCCAGTCACCGACTAGAATTAAAAGGTGAAGGTTGTGTTTGTTTCGTCTGAAGTATAAAGTATGTATTTATTCCCTGTTACTATCAGTAACAGCCTGGTCTCAGACCAGTCCACGGGGGCGTTGACCCCCGAAACCCCCTCCAGGTATACTCAACAAAGACACCACCATTAGATGATACAAAGGCACACCAGGAAGGACAACACTAGGCTTACCAGCGCACACTTGCCAGATACTACCATCTCCACGAATGTTTCCACATTTTTAGCCTATATTTACCTGACCTCTTGTGCTATACATGCTTCCTGCTCTAGCTACTGATGTGAGAGAGCTGATGATGCTACACGTAGCGAAACGCTTCCTTAGTGAATGTCTTGATCAGTGAACATACATCTCTTACCTCTAATAATGCTAATGTTACGGTCTCTTTGTTAGCCTGAAGAGGAGAGAGAAGTGGTGCAGTTCCACTACACAGAGTGGCCTTCACATACACAACCTTTCATCAATGGACTACTGGAGTTTCGGCGGAGAATTAAAATCTGGTCCCAGTCGAACATCACACCGGCTGACGGCCCAGTCATCGTGCACTGCAGGTTAGCACCAAGACTCTTCCTCTATGGTATATCATACGATGCTTCTAGCTTTTCATATTACAGTCTCTCCTTCCATCCAGTTCTTTAATACCTCATCATTCTTCTGCCATGGTTTCATTATCTCTCCCATAAATATTTGCAGAAACATCTATATATATCCTCTTCTACATATCTCAGAATACATTACTCTACCCACTATTTTTCACCTTTCTGGTTGTATGTATTACAAATGCACAATCATTCTCCGGTAAATGTTCCTCATCTTCTCAAGTCTTCCTTCCCTGAGAGTAAGTTATTATGACATTCTTACATGTACCTGAGCTTCCAATATGTAGGGGGAATGCGCAAGTCAGGGACTTTCCAGCTTTGTGAAGAAATTATTTCATTCTCATTCCTTTATCTATCCCCCAAATGATCACATCTTGGATAATTGTAAGGGTGTAAGAGCAATCTGGCGCATAAACAAGTTGATTGGAAGTCTTCATTCCTATATCTGACTAGTAACTGGACGGGTGATTGCGTGTACACAACCTCACCATTGGCTTGAGGGTAACATGGAACACCATACCTCATTTCCAAAAATCTGAAAAAAATATTCACCTGGACAAGCATATACCAATCAGGGGCAAGTGAGGTGCACACATATATGTCTCACCTGTAGCAAATTATTGTTATTTTAATTCTAACCAATAATAATAATAATAATAATAATAATAATAATAATAATAATAATAATAATAATAATAATAATAATAATAATAATATTATTATTATTATTATTATTATTATTATTATTATCATTATTATTATTATTATTATTATTATTATTATTATTATTATAGAAGGTATTTGGCTGTAATTTGTACGTCTTTCATTTTGAAAACTAGATTAGTTGAAGTAACATTTGAGCAATGTTTGAGTGAAGAGATTACTATACTGTGTCTTGTACTGAGGGAGATTCTTTGTTTACAGTGACGGAGGAGCAAGGACCGGTGTCTACATGGCTATTGACGCCAACCTGGAACTTCTTGAAGAAGATGGCAAACTCGACATCTATGGTTACGTCAAGAAGATGAAGCATGCTCGTCTGGGACTGATTGAGACAGTGGTACGTACATTTTATATATATAGTATATATATATATAATATATATATATATATATATATATATATATATATATATATATATATATATATATATATATATATATAATTTATATCATTTACATTAAATTATATTCTTGGGCTCCACAAATTGATCTCTTTTTTTTTAGGTGGAAAAAGCATGTTTTCTCAATATTGAAGTTTCTTGTCTTCACGCAGGATCAATACAGGTTTGTGTACGACGCTCTGGAGGAGTTCCTTCTGTGTGGCTACTCGTTCTTTCCCGTCAGTGAGTTGTCACAGCGGCTGAAACACAAGTCCATGAAGATCAATGGGAACAAGAGCGAATACCAAATAGAGTTTGAG